ATATCTTTTCAGTCCTTGATTATATCTAATACTTTTAATATCAATTGAAAATAACTTTGATATCATTTAAGATTTTTTCTAAGATCAAGTTTATTTTTTTAAATTCTTGAAATGTATCTTTCTTCTTATCTTTGTTATTAATTGTATCTTTACCTTTTAGAAACTAAAAATCTAAATTTTACTAAACTATTAATTATTTTAAGACTAAACCTGCTTATAAGCAAGCCTACTGTAATAAAATTAAATCTCTATAAATATTAATTTATACCAGTTGTTTATGACATCTCAATAAATAGTATATATATTTTAATAATATCTTAAGAATGAAGATCAAGAATTGAAACAAAAAACTAAAGTAATAAGAAGATGATTAAAATTGTAATTATTATGTTGATTATGAATAATCAAATTCACTTCTTTTGCTTTATGTCTTCTAAAAAGAAACTTCCTTTAGATTTAAACAATGGTTTTAAATCTTTCTCTTAATGATTAATGAATTGTCCATATAGTATAAGTGTTCCTGATGCTTCTAACAAATAATTCTAACATATTCTAAGTAATGTACAATCAGGATTACCTAAATAATAATTAATAAAAAATACCATTTGGCAATAAGGAGCTATTCTTAAGAGGTATGTTAAGCAAATCTGTATACCTATTGTCTGATTATAGTATTTCCTTTGACGTTTTTACATCCCATAAACGGATAGAGGTATCCCTACTACCAGATGCTAATGTAGTACCATTAGGAGAGTAACAAATTGAATTAACAACACTTGAATGACCATCTAATTTGGTTTTTTATTATCCCGTCTTAACATCATATAAACGGATGGAGTTATCTGAACCACCAGATGCTAATGTAGTACCATCAGGAGAGTAACAAATTGAATAAAATGTTCCAGAATGACCATCTAATTTGGCTTTTTATTATCCTGTTTTAACATCCCATAAACGGATAGAGTTATCCAAACTACCAGATGCTAATGTAGAACCATCTGGAGAGTAACAAATTGAATTAACACCTTATGAATGACCATCTAATTTGGCTTTTTATTATCCTGTCTTAACATCCCATAAACGGATAGACTTATCCAAACTAGCAGATGCTAATGTAATACCATCTGGAGAGTAACAAATTGAATTAACACCTTATGAATGACCATCTAATTTGGCTTTTTATTATCCTGTCTTAACATCCCAAAAACGGATGGAGTTATCCCAACTACCAGATGCTAATGCAGAACCATCATGAGAGTAACAAATTGATTTAACATAATTAGAATGACCATCTAATTTGGCTTTTTATTATCCTGTCTTAAAATCCCAAAAACGGATAGAGTTATCTGAACTACCAGATGCTAATGTAGAGCCTTCAGGAGAGTAACAAATTGAAGTAACCCAACTTGAATGACCTTCTAATTCAGCTTTTTATTATCCTGTCTTAACATCCCATAAACAGATAGAACAATCTCCACCATATTAATTCCCACCACCAGATGCTAATATAGTACCATCAGGAGAGTAACAAATTGAATAAACACCACTTTCATGACCATCTAATTTGACTTTTTATTATCCTGTCTTTACATCCCATAAACGGATGGAGTTATCTGAACCACTAGATGCTAATGTAGTCCCATCAGGAGAGTAACAAATGGAAGTAACACCAGATGAATGATCATCTAATTTGGCTTTTTATTATCCTGTCTTAACATCCCATAAACGGATAGAACAATCTCCACCACCATATTAATTCCCACCACCAGATGCTAATATAGTACCATCAGGAGAGTAACAAATTGAATACACACAACTTTAATGACCATCTAATTTTGCTTTTTATTATCCTGTCTAAACATCCCATAAACGGATAGAGTTATCATCACTACCAGATGCTACTGTCGTACCAATAGAAGAGTAACAAATTGAATAAACACCACTTGAATGACCATCTAATTTGGTTTTTTATTATCCTGTCTTAGCATCCCATAAACGGATGGAGTTATCTGAACCACCAGATGCTAATGTCGTACCATCAGGAGAGTAACAAATTGAATAAACTGTTCCAGAATGACCATCTAATTTGGCTTTTTATTATCCTGTCTTAACATCCCATTAACGTATAGACTTATCATAACTACCAGATGCTAATGTAGTACCATCAGGAGAGTAACAAATTGAATAAACAGCACTTGAATGACCACCTAGTTTCACTATAAATTTCCCCGTTTTAAGATTCCATAAATACACAAATTATCTACTGCTGAAGGCTAATATAGTATTATTAGGTGAAATGCATACTGATTTTACCTCCCATTTTTCCTTGATTCTAAACTTTTTTTTCCCAGTTTTAATATCCCACAATATAATCAAATTATCATCACTACAAGAAGCCAATGATTTACCATCTGGAGAAAAGCAGACCTAATTGATGTTTCCATGATGTCCATCTAGTTTATTTAACTCATGAATTTTGATATTTTTCCATTTACAATTAAACAATAATGCTTGATTCAAGTTCATTCCGCTAATATCTACATTGTCAAATTCTGATCCATTGAATATGCATCTTACAAAATTCCCACCAACTAAAGAGGTATTTCTTATCCTTATATTCTCAAAACTTTATTCCCTCAAATCC